AAAAATAATAAAAAAATTAGTTATAAGTGAACTCTAAAACTAAATGCTTGGTTTATAGTGCAATAAAATGTTACATAAAACTATATCCAATTGCAAAATCTAATACATTAATAAGTAAATAATTGATAGTTTATTCATATATGATATGTTTGAGAGAGAAAACATGAAGATATTATTAAAATAGTCTAGAAATCAGTTGCTTGCATAAATTCAGAACTACTGTGTGAAATTTTGCTACATTACGTATAATAAAGCTTCACAATTGTATACCTTACTCAATAGCTTACCTAGCCCTACATGGCAAAGAGACAAGTATGCTATCCTACTTGCTAGGAAATTTTCATGTTGAATTATTACATTTCATTCATGTAATTTTGCACTAGCTTTTGCAAGTGATTCAGTCCTAAAAAAGGTAGATCATACAATTAGGCCAAGTAACTTTTTAGTAACTCCTATTGGAGTAACTTCCAATAGGAAGCAGTTAGATGCCACTGACTAATTCACAAGCACACTAGATAGTATGCCCAGGTTTACAGTATTTATTGTCAAAAGGACTAGGGGGTCCTCTGGATTTACGACTCCTGTTCAAAAAGCAGATGGCAGTTGTGGCTAAGAGGGCCTTTGTGCCAATTGTGTTGTGCACCAGTTACGCCCTTAGCTGGATCTGCACATGGTCACTCATGTTTTAGTCATTTCTTGGCTGGATTACTGCAACACATTCTATATGGAGCTATCCTTGAGTAATCGGAAGCTGCAGCTAATGCAGAATGCAGTAGCACACAATACTGGGAACTCCTAGGGCTGCACCTATAATACCACTACTGGACTTGCTGCATTGGTTACCTGTTTACTTCGGGATCCAATTAAAGATATTGACTTTTACTTTTAAAGCCCTACATGGCGTGGGTCCAGGATATCAATAAGAGCCGAGGTGGCACAGTGGCTAAATGCAGCACTGCAGGCTACTTCAGCTGACTGCAGTTCTGCAGTTCGGCTGTTCAAATCTCACCGGCTCAGGGTTGACTCAGCCTTCCATCCTTCCGAGGTGGGTAAAATGAGAAGCCAGATTGTTTTTTTTTTATTTGGATATTTTTTATTTCATTTTCATTTTCATTTTC